AAGTCTGATAAAGTTCATGCTGGAGATGAAGATCAAGACGATGCAGATGCTTCATGGATCCTTCATCGTAGCATGTTAATCTTACCAAATCATCGACATACCAAAGGTATGTTAATGTACCATTTCACTTCATTTATATTCATTTTCACACGCACTTCAAATCATTATTTGTACCAACACAGCCAAAAATACAGTTCATTAGACTTTACACATAAACTCAAGCATAGGGGGTTAGAAATTACAATAATATAGGTTTATTGTTAAGATAATTTTTGCTTCTTTGGAATTTTTCTAATGGTTAAAATGTGTATCATCATAAGATCTTCAATGAGGAGAAGGTGGAGATAAATTTGAGAACATTAATGTAATTAAGTTGTTCTACATTTGAATTCTTATGTCTTACTTTAACTTCATCACAAAATATATTATATAAATCTCACTATATCTCCGTCTTATGTGGGATTTTCAAGTATTCCTCATCTATGCATAGGTTTTGAAAATGGCTAGCAATTCTATTATTTATGGAGTTTGTAGTTTGAATGAATGGTGAAGGTGGTGGACATTGATGGTATTAAACTAATTTATCCAGAATTTATGTTGTGAAAATGTTAATGTTATATTGTATATATGCTAATTATAGTTGTAAATTTATACTTTGTTTAGCTTCTGCTAAGTAATTAAAATTTACATAATTATAATGTGCAGAGACTCATGAGATATGCCTACTAGTAAAAGGGTTGGATCACAATTCTAAGGTAAAATAGCGTATCGTTGTTCAAGATGTGGTGAGACCAGACATACTTGAAAGACTAGCAGAAACCCCAAACCATTCTGACATTCAACATATTCCTCTTTTAGGTTTTAAAGACAGATGTTTGTTATTTTGTATATGAATGTATTCAACTTATATTTTTTTGAATGGTTTGGAGAAGCAGCTGTTATGTGCATATACACAATCTATATAGGACTTTTGAGATGGGTTTAAATATTGTTATTGTGGCTTTTTGTAATATGAAGTAAATGGATGAAAAATTAATTGGCAAGTATGTAAATGTAACTATACTTTGATAAATGTTATATTTATATAAACAATATGGGAAATTTGTGTTGTTAATTGTCTTCTTGTTGCTATGCATATTAGAGTTGTGAACTATATATTGTCACCTGCACCTTTTTTCATATATCATCAATATGGAAAAGGGAAAATCAAGGATAAATTCTCTTAGAAAAATTAATTGGCAAATGATCCTTAGGATGATCGGTTGCACACAAAAAAAAAGTTCCGTATAAGAGAAGTTGAGTTGCAGATAGAAAAGATAATTTGCACAAAACATTATTTAGAGATAGAGGAACAATTTGCATATAAGAAAGATAACTTACATATAAGGGAAGATGTATTGCACACAATAAAAGTTCAGTTTCACAAAAAGAAAAGGAAAAATGTCATTTAAGTCTCATAATGTGGACTTAATTTATAATAAGTCCCAAGATATTCTGAAATTTGTTTCCAGTCCCCCTACCCGTAAATGAAAATAAGTTTGAAAGTAAAATGTCTACGTTGCCCATCAAAATTTTAGTAGGAAGAAAGGGGTCGATTGAGTTTTTTTACAACTGCATATATGAAAATTTACAACAACAAAAAAAAGGAAAATAACAACTGAAGACATAAAAAATTTATAATAGATAATAGAATATTAACAACTCTACGTATGAAAATTTATAACAAATAATAGAAGATTAATAACTTCACATATGATAATTTATAACAAATAATTGGAAAATAACAGCTGAAAATATGAAAATTTACAACAAATAATAGAATATTAATAACTCGGCATATGGAAATTTACAACGCAATAAAAAATTAACAATTGCATATATGTGAATTTTAACAAAAACAAAAAATAATAGAAAATTAGCAACTCCACATATGGGAATCTACAACAAATAATTGGAAAATAACATGGAAATATGAAAATTTACAACTGATAATAGAGTATTAATAATTCTACATACGATAATTTACAACAGATAATAAAAAATTAACAACCTCACATATGAGAATTTACAACAAATAATTAAAAAGTAACAACTAAAAATATGAGAATTTACAACAAATAACAGAAGATTAACAACTCCACATATGAAAATTTCCAACACAATAAAAAATTAACAACTGCATATATGAGAGTTTATAATAAAAAGCAACAAATAATAAAAGATTAACAATTCCATGTATAAGAATTTAAAACACAATAGAAAATTAACAAATTCATATATGAAAATTTATAAAAATAATAAAATATTAACAACTCTACGTATAAAAATTTACAACAAATAATAGAAGATTAACAACTTCACATATGAGAATTTATAACAAATAATTGAAACATAACAACTAGAAATATGAAAATTTATAATAAATAGCAGAAGATTAACAACTTCACACTATTACAAAAAAGAGTTTTCACGATGCTAATTTACGGCGATTATTAGAAAAAACATTGTAAAAAATATGACAGTGGCATTTCTGTAATTATAGGCGGACTTTTAAAGCCGTTAAAAGTATTTTTTACGGCGGTTTTTAAAAAACCTCCGTAAAAAATACTTTTAACGGCGGTTTTTAAATAACCTCCGTAAAAAATACTTTTAACGGCGGTTTTTTAAATAACCGCCGTAAAAAGTCTATCAGAATTTTAAAATTCATCGCGCTGCGCGATAGTTTTCACTTTTCAGAGTCAGAGCTCATGGTCCCCCTACCATTCTCACTTGATTTTCTCCCTCCTCCTACATTTGTCGGCGTTTATCCATTGCTTCTATCATTTCCGCCATGTTCTTCCATCACCGTCGCTGTCACTGTTGCTGTTGCCGTCACCATCACCTCGTCCTCTTCATTCTTATTTGTGAGTTTTTCACCTCCATTCTTTCCGTGGATTTCATAGTTTTCTTGGTTTGATATAATTATTTTCTTTGGTTAAAAATATGATGCTTAATATGAGTTTAAAGAGATCTGATTTTTAGCAAATCTAAGTCTTTGATTTTATCAGATCTGAGTCTTTGATTTTATCTTTATTAAATCTTAGTTGCTTCGATCTGGTGGCCGAAGGTGAAGCTAAGTGACGCTATTACGGCGGGAAAGAATCTCTATTTACTCCATCAAAATGCTTTTAACTGGCAAGCGACTTCTTTTGAGGCTTTGTTCTCTTGTTCCCTCCTGATCCGTAGGATGAAACGTAGCTTAAAGAAACAAAAATTTTCCACGGTGGTTATTTATATAACTGCCGTGAAAAGTCACATACCACGACGGTTTAAGAACCGCCGTGAAATCCTCTACATTTTACGTCGATGGCATAGATGTCGGTCTCAAAACCACCGTAAAAAGTTTATTTTAACCGCCGTTAAATATATTTTTTGTAGTAGTGTCATGTAGGGAAATTTATGACAAAATAGAAAATTAACAACTGCATATATGAGAATTTATAACCAAAAAAATAGCAAAATAACAACTTATTTTCCTATTATTTGTTATAAATTTTCATATTTTCAGTTGTTATTTTTCTATTTTTTGTTACAAATTCTCATATATACAGTTGTGAAAAGCCCTAATCAACCCCTTCCTTTTGCTAGAATTTTGATGGGCAAAATGAATATTTTACTTTCAAACTTATTTTCATTTAGGAGTAGGGGGATTGAAAACAAATTTCAGAATATCTTGGGACTTATTACAAATTAAGTCCACGTTATGAGACTTAAATAACATTTTTTCCAAAAGAAGATGTAGCATAAGGGAAGATAATGGTACCCAAGAAAAGACTAATTGCACTTAAAAGAAGTTAAGTTGCATAAAATTTTTAGGACCAATAAAAGATTTATCCCAATTTTTTTTTGTGGAAAATTCATGTGATTAATTCCCTCACTACCTTCTTCTTAATTATTTTATTGCTGTTGTTATTATTCATACTTTAGTTGTGAATCTAGATATGGACACTTGCATAATTTTCATACGTCAACAATGTGGAAAATTCATGTTGTTAATTCTCTTAATCTTCTTGTTAATTGTCTTGTTTTTGTTGTCATTATGCATACTTGAGTTGTGAATCCTGATATAAAAGCGAGTGCTTTTTACGCACACAGAGATATAGATCAATAATTTGGGAAATTCATGTTGTTAACAACTCATATTTCTTATTAATCGTCTAATTTTAATTGTTAGCATGGAAAATTTAAGTGGTTAGATTTTGTCATAAGGACACGCATAAATAATTGACGTTAGTTGCCTTAATTTTTTTTATTAATTACCTTAATTTAGTTGTCAATGTGCAAAGTTGATGTGGAAAAATTTGGCTGCAAATGCGCATAGTTTTACTTTCATCAGAAGTTTTAATTTTATACAGTAAAGCCCTAATCAAACTGCTTTTTCACCTACAAATATTAATGGCAAAATAATCTTTTTCTTGGGACTTACTTTTAATAAAGTCTCTTCTGTGAGACGCGATATAAATTTCATGTGTACAAGTTTAAACAATACAAAGTTTTTTTTTCAAAAATAAAATTTCAATAAACCCGTTTTAATTTTTATAAGACGTTAAACGCCTACTAATCTAGACCGAGTGGGATCACACCACAAAAAAATAAAACTCCCCCCAAGAACAATTTTCTCAATACATACAATAATCGAATTCAAGTTCTCGATTAAAAGCAGCAAGCAACAACCAGTTTGAACCAACTTACATCGAAAATGGCACATGCATGTTCCCCGCAAGAAATTCTTTGCTCAAAAAATAACATTTAATCGCTATTATATCTTATCATCAAAATCACATCAAAGTAACTAAATTTTTATTATTTTTTTCAATTCATGGTAAAATTAATTTATTTCCCCTCCATTCCTATGTACCAAATGGACTTTAGTCTTCTTTGTCCTGCCAACTAGTAAATTCTCAGCTAGTTAACCCAATACCTAACGGGAAAATTATTAAAAATAAATAAAGGCAAGTCAAGCGCAATATGCTAAATATAGTCCAAAATAATATGAAAAAGAAACCCATGTGTGTCTTCTAAAGTAAGTTTGATTAAAAGGAACCAGCAGCTTTCCTCAACCTTAATTACATGCCCTGACAGCAGCAAGATAAATTCTGGAATCTTAGTCAATGTACAAGGTGAAGTATAGTACCACTTTCCTCATCCCTTTAGGTTCTTAGGTGATAACAGATCTCAGTTTGCTTGGCTCAACCTTTATCAACATTTGAAACCACCACAGGCAATAGCCCATAATATTACGATTATGATGAGGATTCCTCCTCCCATCATTAGCTTCATTTGAAGACTCTGTAGCCACATCTTCCGTCTAAGCTGCCTTCCTTGCCTCTGGAAGCTATCAGCCTAAAATTAAAATGAAAATAGAATCAATCACATCCGTGGATATTATATTGAGGAAATATCCCTATTCTGCTCCTGACAGATGGGTGAACCTTCTATTTGGTTCTCCACAGATCATCTCTTTTGTTTCCCTCCCTCAACTATTAAAATCCTTTTTTCACTCAAAAATCTAATGCCAAATCTCTAACAAAATGCAGACTTGAATGTTACTTGTCAGCTATTATGTGGGCCAGATGTGCTATTGGTAACATCCAAGTCTGCAGATTATTTCGTTTGGTAACCTGATGACTGAGTGGATGACCATCATTGAAGTTTATCTGCTAGAGACCAGAATACAGGTTTCCTCTAAGTTTATTCTTCAAACCCGCATGGATAAACCAGGGATACTACATGCCTGGAACTGAAGGCTTTCAGTTTTATCCACTAAAAGTTCAATCTTCTCGCCACGATCCAAAACCTGTCATCCAGAAAGTGTAAAGATTCTTATTAGAGTGCTAAATAATATTGAGCAGTAACTTAATGCCTCACTTGATTGAGCAAGAACATTAAGTTGGTGATGCCAACGATGGCAACAAGAGTCATGTTGCAATGAGTAAAATCCTTCAAACAAATTGTATCAACAAAAACCTAACGCATTGCATTAGTGAAAGCAAGCAAATGCAGTATTTATTTTAACTTCCACAGATTATATCCTTGAGGAAAAGGCTCCTTCTTAAGGGGCAAGTATTAATATATGGCAAGTTAGGGGCAATTAGGGAAATAGCAGGGAGAGGGTAATTTGGGGATTTAGTGTAATATCTCTGGAGCACAGATGTATTGAGGTGTCTAGTGAAATCAAATACAGTTTCCTTTACTTTTCCTCTTCTACCGGTATCACAAGGTGCCCTTAACTAGTTGCAGAATAAATGGAAGATATAGACTTGGGAAAATCCCAAAAAAATGACTATTAAATTTCAAAATTCTAAACCAAGAATTACTACAAAAATGTGTTGTCATTTGCTTTTTGAGTGTAGTCATTTTCTTCACAAGTGTAGTAACCAATACTGATTTGGAATTTTAAAATTCAACAGTCATTTTTTTTGAGATTTTCCCTATAGACGTTCAGCATTAAATCACTATCAAGGCATAATTGAATTAAGCAAAATTTTCCAATAAAGTTTTCTTACCAAACTACTAATTCATTTTTGTCCTCTACGTGAGGGTTAAAAAAAATCCACTGTAGCCTTAGGTAGGCGTCCCTCGTGGGTCTTCAAAAGGAATTAGACGATACTCTACAGTCAAAAGAGTCTCTATTTTTTTTTTTTTTGTGGGGGGGGGGGGGGAATACAACGCTTCTGTTACTATTCATCAAGCACTTTAAATTTTCTAAATGCATGAAACACCCACCCCCAAAGGGATATGTTTTAAATTGCGGATATCAGTTAAGTTGGACACACCAGGTCCAAGAACATTTGACAATTTTTAAGTGGGGTGGGAAGTTATTCACAGATTTATCTCACCAAGAAAAGGGAAAGTTTATTAGCTATGCAAATAGACACCAATGATAGCTAGCATAACAGGCAAGGCAGAAGTTTGATTTAACCCAAACCTCTGAAGAACACAGGTCATGCAGTTCCAAATGATTCATCACACAAGCAGGTAATGAGAACCAGCAACAGCCCAATCAAGAGGGCTTCGTTTAACACAATCTACATTCATCTCTCAACTATATTGCAGTTCCATAATCGTATCACAAAACCAAGAAAGCACTCTCTTTTTCTTTATTTATTTTTACAAATATAATGTCTTTTCATCATTAATCTTTGTATTATCTTGGAGCGAGAATTTACTGGGAATCAGATCAACAAAAGAGGAATACTTGTAAGTCAGAGGAAAGTAGCAAAAAGGTTTCTTCAGCCAAGAAGGCGTGCTTGAGTTCGAATATAAATCACCATAGCATTAAAACCACTTTAAATGGTAACACAGCAGAAGAGATGACACTGAAAAATGTTCAATGATCTTAAATAAAGTAAAAGAACAATTCATATTTGTAATTTTATAATCATAACACTTGATCTAAACCATAATTTCTATAATTTAATGCAACTATATATATGACATTTTTTGGGGCAGCCATCAAATTGACATAATTTAATTCATAAAATAGTAATCATCCCAAACAATATTCAAGTCAAGCCTATAACATCATTATGGGGGGGGGGGGGCCTATAAGCAGACACCACTATCTCATTCAAACTAAGTCCAGAACCCGAACTGACAGCATATGGTAGAAACAATAAGTCTAGAACCAACATCTATATAATTATAATAACACAAAAAAAGTGTTTTTAGGTGTGTGTCAACATACGGACTTCATACCTTCTCAATATTGTCAATCATTATCCCCTTGACCTCAGTTATTTGAGCCTTTAATTTTGACAGTTTGCTCATTTCTTCTGGATGGTTCATGCAGTACTGCATATGCTCCTTAAGTCTTGGCCTGTGTAACAAGATAAAAACATATACTGGATGAAGACTTTAATGACTTAAAACACCACCAAACTATGATGAAGGCAACAATTAACAAAAAAATCTGAAATAGGATAAAGGTTAACAAACCCAAATTCTCTGTCTAGACTATAGGCAATGCTAAATCTGTCTTCAAATAAAAACTCATCATCATCCTCATCATCGGCCAATGGATGGGCACCTTCATTCTTAATGCTTTCACCATAACGCTGTTTAAAATCATCCTTCACACGTTCAAGAAATACAAAAGGCACACTCCGCCCAATAGATTCACCAGCAACAACAAGGAAAACTGCACCGAAGGGAAAAGCTTTCAGACAAGCTTTCAGACCCAACCAATTGTACACAATAAAAAAATAAAAAAAAAAGAATAATCAAATACCAAATCCATTGTCAATGAGGAAGTTAAATGTGTATCCATCACATGAGTATGTGTATTTGCTGCTATTCGAAGGCAGCTTCTGCAAGCATTGAACAGCAATGGTACTGAAATTTCCTGAATATGAAGTGTGCTCTGCCAACACGACAGTCCCTTTTGCAACGAAGCTATAAACTAAACCCCTTTGACTCATCTCCAAGAAGCTCCAGGACCAGAATATAATCAAAGTCAGGCCCCAAAACGCAACAACGACCTACGAGTAGATCCGAAATATAATCCAATAAAAATGTCAGAACTATCAAACACCCCTCCCTACAACAGCCCTGGTAGAAAATTAAGCCCTAATTTGTGTAAGTAGGAAAAACCCCCGCGAGTGCAAGTAATGCAATCAATGTTCAATCCCCGAAGCAAAATGAGCATTCACGAAGAGATGCAATCTAGAGATCCACATTCAGTATAATGCCATGATAAGACCCAGTCTACGAGTTGCAAGAAATCAAATTCAACAGCCTATTTCCTAATTGTTTCTCAAATTTTCGTGAAAAGTAAAAGAGAATGCACAAATCCCAATTGGAAACAGACCAAGTTCTTCCAAATATGATGATGGAGAATTCATAACTACCCAACCCCGATCTAATAAGAAGAAAACTCGGATGAGGTGAAACAAATTATGTTGGAGAAAATCAAACGCAGATAGAAATACACAGAGAACCTGGGCTTGCTTGCCGAGTACTGATCCCCGGTAAATGATTCAGGAAAAACGCTTGTAAATCAACTTCGACGCGACGTGGTGACGTGGTGAAGCTGCGAATGAACTTCGATCAAGAAGTGCTGATCAGAGATTGGTCGTCTATTTGGGCACTTTTTTTTTTTTTTATTTTTGCGCCAATGATTTGAATTTTGGGCATATATTTTAAAAAATATGTGGCTCGGATATAATATTTTATAAACTAAAATATATTTTAATCTTTTAATTTTGAATAAGATTTCAATCTAGTTTTTAAACTTAAAAAAAATATAGTTTTAATATTTTAATCTTAAAACTGTTAATAAAAAATATTATATTGAGATCTTGAACATTAATAAAATATTCTCAAATGCTAACATTTTAAGTTCAATTTTTAAAATAACTATGATTGTTATGAAAAAAATCATCATTAAAGATTAACAATTTTAGGGTTGAAAAACTAAAAATATTCTTTCTAAAGTAAAGGAATTAAACTGAAACATTATATAAAAATAAAGGATCAAATACATACTTTAGCCTATTTTATGAAAATATTGTTAAAATATTTTATAAATTAAAATTTTCTAAACTAAACTGCCCAAATTAAGTTTTAAATACTTAAATTCGAGAATTTATATTTTTGTATTATTATAATAATATTTTATAAGATATTATCACTACATTTCAACTATTTTTTTCTTGAGTACAAATATCTTTCTATTAGAAATAATCCTATTCAAAACATTATCAGGTATAAATATAGACATATCTTTCAATAAAAATTTGAATATTGATTTTCCATATTATGAAATACCAATCATTTTTATCAAATTCAACTCTCATTAGTTGAACTAATTCATTTTTTATTTCATATTTAAAGGGTGAAGAAGGGATCTTGAGAGGAAAAGAAAAAGGAATTTGAATCCAATTTTTCAGAGTATTGAGTGTTGAGTGCCTCAAAACTTAGTTTGGAGTATTGAATGCTTATGAGAAAATAATTCAAAGCAGCAGATGATAGTTAACCTATTTTTAAATTATTAATTATTTTATTTAGTTTTAGTTTTTGAATAAATTATATCATATATAAATATTGAAAATATTAGGGTTAAGGTGCCAAAAATACTCATAAACATTTTTTAAAAGCACGCCTAATATTATATACTTTTTTTTGGGTGCAAATCTAACTATGAAAATTTAAAACTGCTGCAAAAATAACAAAACCATTAAAATGAGAGGACTATTGTTAGTTTTGGTGGAAATTTTTTTAGAAAAGTAGCAAAATACCCCCCAAATCTAAAAAAATTCATTGATTTGAATATTTCAACATTTGAGGGTATTATTATTTATATACGATTTTCCCTTAATTTTTTGATGGCCAAAAAACTAACAAATTAAATTTGTCAGGCAAAAATATATGATGACTATAAAGTGATTATGTTTGACTTACCAACATCAATGGAAAAACCACAAGTCTAATGTCATGAGATTAAATATAGAAAGCTTTTCAAACAAATTAATATTTACATGTCAAACTTGATACTTACGAGTAAAATTTAGCAAGTTATGTTTACAAGTCATATCTATATATCCTATAAACCTTGTAACGGTTTTGTGATTAGTTCACGTGACTGTCTTGGACGGTGTTTTCTTTTGCATCTTATTGGCTGTTGGTTGTTGATGTGATGTCTCTTTTTCAATCTAGATACATGCATCTGCATAATAGTTTTATCCTTATTTATTATAGTCCTTTCGTTTCCATTTCTCTATGTTTTGGGAGAGTGGGGCCTTTCTTGCGTTGGTGATCTTATAAATATGGAGTTGTTGGGGGCCTATTGTGTTGTGGTGCTGTTGTTTGTTTCTTTTTCCTTTTTTGGTTTTAGTTGTTTGGTGTTGGTTGTTATCTTTTTTTTCTTTGTTGTAGAGGGTCGTCCACAAGAATGGATTGCTCTATGGAGATTTCTTTGGCATCCATGAGGTCAGGATATCGTTATACATATCTCTGTGCCTGTATTTCTTGTGTGTGTGTGTGTGTGATGACACTACTTGGCTTTGTGGAACGTGGTTGAGGTCTTTGAGTTCCATCATCATGATGGCAAGTAGGCAATGAGTTCTTTCACTTTTAGGTATTTGTTTGTATGTTCTTCCAAAGCCATGTTAAATAGATTTTGTTTTTTAAGACTGATTAATTTTCTTGTGGTAGGTTTGAGACCAGCAAGATGTTAGTAATGTTCCTAGCATTGATGCCATTGTTGCTGGAGTCATGAAATCTATGCAGCCAGGCTTGCACTGTCGCACCGTGGAGTTTCATGACAGAGTGAATTGGCAACGTAACTTCGCATTTTCTAGTGTTTGAATGGCTGAAGCCTCAGATTCAAGCTGGTGGAGCCCAGTAGCTTTAGATTGTATCAGTGAGGCAGCGTTGTTATGATCACCTTGAAGGCGAGAAGCCAAGAATGGTGCATGCCGGGATAATACTCTTTCAGTTCTAAATATAAGACCTTTATATTAAATATAATATCTTTATACTAGTGTATATAAAGGTTTTATATGTAGAACCGGAGGAGTATTTTTTCAGTTTTACAATGTAAGATATGAGGTGTTTTCAGATGTTTGACCCTCCCTATAATTATAATTTTTTCAGTTTTCTTTATTTGAATTTTTGGGGCTTATATCCATTTTAACATGTCTCATAATCATAGAATTTGGGGAAACCTTTTTAAAAGAAGTCGAAATAGATATTCTCTAATTTTATTGCATGGAATTCAAAGAGGTCCATTTTTTGATTTCTAAAGATATTCTTGGTCAACATTTTGTTTCTCCAAAAACATTTATTTTTTTTTAGAGAATCATTTTTCAAATTTTCACTATTATCTATTAGATAGGTGGACGCAAAATTAAAAAAAAAAAAAGGATTGAAGTAGAACCTTCTTAAGATTTTTAAAAGAAAACATAACAGAAAGAAATAAGGCTCAAATATATTTTTAGTCCTTTAACTTCACACACAATTTCATTTTGGTCCATTAACTTTAAAAAGTAAATTTTTGGTTCTCTAATTTTAAAACTGTTAACAAAAAGTAATGATATTGAGCTCTTAAATACTGATAAAATATTACTAAATATTAACATATTAAGTTTAATATTCAAAACAATAACTATGATTGTTACAAAAAATCATAATTTAAATCTAACAATTTTAGAATTAAAAGACTAAAAGTATACTTTTTAAAGTTAAAGGAATAAAATAAAACCTTATATGAAATTAAAAGACAAAATGCATACTTTATCCAAGAGATAATTAGCAAAGATAAGAATAAATAAATAAAACCACAAAATACTTCCTAACAAACCATCGATATGAGAGGCAAAAATATCTGAACAACTATTTTGACTTTTTCCTGGGCATCTGACTCTAAACTAATTTATAACAAAATATATTAAATAAGATATTCCGAGTATATTAAATACCGTTTAGATTAAGTCTAACTAGATAAATTCTTTTGTTAGCTAAAATATATATTTGGTCCTTTAATTTTATATGAAGTTTTATTTTGATCTTTTAACTTTAAAAAACATACTTCTAATTCTTTAACTCTAATATTATTGGTTTAAATAATATTTTTTGTAACAATTATAGTTGTTTTGAATATTAAATTTAATATATTAGTATTTAGTAATGTTTTATTAGTATTTAATAGCTAAATATTATCATTTTTTGTTAATAGTTTTAAAATTAGAAGATTAAAAGTTTACTTTTTAGAATTAAAAGACTAAAATAAAACATTGTGTAAAGTTAAAAAGATTAAAAGTATATTTTAAGCTCCTTTTCTTGGTTGGAATGACTTTTTAGTTTAATCTACGGATAATATCCTTCCTTTGGAATTTCTAAAATATTCAAGTGGCATTTTGGAAGACGTGAATGTTGAGTTTTCGACTTTTCATAGTTCCCCCAAATTGATAATTTCTAAGAGACCGTCAATTCCTTTGATTTGATGTTTGAATTAATGTGCAGTCAAATCAAATAATATCTATTTTATTTTTTTTAAAAAAATTTGTTCGTTGAGTGTACAGTAAATAATGAAAATTTTTATAACTGAGTTATTAATTATTAATGGAAGAGCTAATAAATACAAAAGAGGAAAATAAACTATGTTTTACAATCAATATATTGTATATTTAATATGAGAATAAGTGGAAGGAAATAATAAATGCTTTGTGGAGAAAAATTATTTTAAATGCTAACTGAGGTAACGTTGGATATTATAACTTTATGAGTGTATTACATATTTTAGGGAAAATTGCAAATAAAGACCGTAGAATATATAAAATCGCAATTTGGGTCCTTGAATTTATATAATTGCTGTCAGAGACCCAGTCCCAAATAAGAATTATGAAATGTTAGGTAAAAGACAAAAACGCCCTTCTGCTTTTTTGCAGTCCCTTGTCTACATACCCTAACTTTATCTTTCTTCACTTTCCAAGTCGTCTCCCTCTTTCTTCACTCTCCGACTCGTCTCCCTCTTCTTGATGATGAACCATACAAATCTCTTGAAGAAATTGAGGCTAACACCATTAGAAATCTCCTTCATGATGAAGATGGTCCATCTTCTGATGTTTTTGATGACTCAAGTTTCAATAATTTACCAAAGCTGGTGATAACCTGGAAGATTTTGATCTGTTTGGCAGTGGTGGAGGTATGGAGCTGGAAGGCGACGAACATCTAACTATAGGAAAAGGGGCCAATGGTCCAGATAAAGATCCTAGTTGCTTCGGACGTTTTAAAGGGAAACTTTCTTTTGTTGAACATTCTTCTAGAACAATTTTTGTTAGAAACATTAACAGCAATGTTGAAGATTCTAAGCTAAAGACTCTCTTTGAGGTGCTTCTTTATTGTTTTACGTTGATAGATGCTATGCTAGAATTC